AAAGCAGGGCTTTCCCTAGCCTCCGGCTAGCTACACAGGGCGGAGCTCACCTAGCTGGGTGTGGTGCAGGTGTAAATGCCGTAGGCTAAGGGGAGTGGTCTGGAGGTCAGCAGTGGAGTGTGAGAGAACAGGGAAGAGACAAAGAGGAGAAAAAAAAAAGTAAGACAGTTTAGACTGTGCGGGGGCGGGGGGAGGAGGGATAAAAGGGAGAGAGGAAAAGAAAAGCAACTATATAGCTGAGTCCCACTCCCCACCCGTGTCGCTGCAAGGGTTTAATCCCTGTCCTGAGGCAGCCAGCTGTGGCAAGCCGCAGCTGAGCCGAGAAAAAGCCTCTGCACAGTGCAGCCCTCAAAGACCGTGTAGGGACAGAGGTGTGGGGACAGGGAGCAGAGATGTAAACAAAAGCAATAACGTAGCTGAACCCCGACCCCTGGCCGTGGAGCTCGGAGGATTTAGTCCCCACCCCCACCCCCACCCCACCCCCCAGGCGGCGGTGGCAAGCTGTGGCTGTGCCGAGAAAAAGCCCCTGCACAGACCTCCCGGACTGTGGGGGAAGAGAGCAGAGATGTAAACAAAAGCAACAATATAGCTGAACCCCAATCTCTGCCCGGGGAGCTGCAAGGGTCCAGTCCCTGCCCTGAGGCTGGCGGGGACAAACTGTGGCTATGTTGAGACCAAATCCCCCTAGGGGCTCCAAATGGTCCTGGCTCTGATAGAGACAGTGTCGGTGCCAAGGTCAAGCCCTAGCCGGCTTCCACTGAGGTAAGCCAAAAGCCCCCAGCCCCTCAAAACCCCGTGTGTCTGTGCCTACTTATCTTTGTGATGCTCCTCCTGAGTTCCAGTTGTGTTAAAGTTCCCTCTAAGCAACTCTTCTGGGCTGGATTCTTCGGAGTCCCTCTGGCATGTGTCACTCCGTCGCCAACCTCCCGGGGGTCCAATCGTCCATGTTTTTCCACCCGATCATTTTCAGTGTCCAGAAAACCACAACTTTACATGTTATTTCTTTCACCTCTCTTCCTCTTTCCCCAGGTAGTGTTACTAAAGCATGCTTCCCACGAAAGGCTCATTCCCTGCTTTGTTAAGGATAACAAAACAGGGATCCAAGTCTCCCATGCCAAAAAAAAATTTATTACAGAGCATGTAAAACATTTATTGGATACAGAAGCATCTTGTAAGGGGAGATAAGGAGTAGCCTAATGCAATGCAGACCACATCTCAATGAACAAGGCAAAAGGAGAAGTTTTTAAGGGAGTTTAGGTGGGTAGGACATGTTTATTCATGAAAAGAGGTGGAGAATTCTGGGACTTGAGCCCACATGGGTGGGGTTATGGTAATTAGGTGTTAAAAATGGGGACTACTGCAAAAACTTCTGGGTAGGGTCTCATCACTTACTATGGGATGTTGTGCATGCACTGGGCAGCTGGTTCCTCAGGTTTGAGTCCTCTGCCCAGGTGTTTTTTTGCTCTTGGGTTCCACCAGAGGCCATAGGTGTCTGGTCTATTGCTGCTCCTATATGCAATTTGAGCCAGCTAAACGCTAAATGCTGCACATCAGGGCGTAGAACTAAACACATATTAGTCTTTCAAGGGAGTTGAGGATGAAATTGAAGATGATGTAGACTATTTGTGATATGCCAGATGTTTAAAGTTAACTGGGAGCAGGTGTGGTAAGGTTCATATGTGTTGGGCTGGAGAAATTCCTTAGCATTTTCTGAACTTGGAAGGTGGAGGTGGAAGAATCCAGCCTCCTTCCTCACCTGTCTCAATAGAAATCGCACCCCCCCTCCCCTTTTCCACATACCTAGGGTGATGGAAGATCGGCACTTACCTCTATGTGCAAGTCATGGGAGAGGCAAGTCATGGTAGTGGGAAACTCCCCTGACATCACCGAGGCACCATGCTATCTCTCCAAGCCATGGGTTTGTCCCCTGCATTTCCACGTTCTCAATTCCTATGGAGAACCACGCTTTGGAAGGATCTTGCCTCTCTTGCTTCCTGACTCTCTCCCTTTCCTGGCCTTTTAGGTCAGTCAATTTCTCTCTTCCCATGAGAACCCTGTCAGCCTCTTTAGCTTTCCCTCCGTCCCATCCACAACCAGGTGTAGGGACAGGGTGGGGTTGGGGGGTTGGGTAGGCTTCCTGGTTTCCTCCCACCATTGCTGTTCTCAGCCCCTAGTGGAGAACCGGCCACATGATTGGTGCTCCTGAGAGTGACTTTCTTTTTCTCCTCCTCCCTTTGCAGCAAAGCCCGCAGTGTGTCCCAGTTGGCCTCCACATGCCTTCCCCTCCTCCAAGTCGGGAGTTCAAGGTTTTAAGCAAGCATTTTCCAGCTTTTCCCTGCCCTCTTTGCCCTCTGAGGTATCCTCCCTGGCCCTCAACACATGAGCTCTGATGACCTTCCATCCCTGGGGTCACCACGTGCTGCAGGACCATTCCTCCAGCCTTGTGACCATGCCTGAACCGCCCCGCCCCCCAGGACTGCATTCCCATTCACATCTGTAACCGATTATTTGAATTATTGCCTCAATGAGATCACAGGTTTCTCACAACAAACAAAACCAGAGGAACAAATTCAACTCGAACTGCTAGCTTAAGCCATCATCCTCTTGATCAGGCATTACTGTATCTCGACAAATCTTAGCACTTATGATGAGACAGCTGATTTCAGAGACATTAACATGTGAACCGGGGTGTCCTAGGTTATGTATGGTATTATTTCTAATCTAAGGAGCCTGGGAGCGCCGTTGGGTGAGCATTGGACTGCTAACTGGAAGGTTACCAGCTGGTCTTTGGGAGAAAGATGAGGCTGTTTGCTGCCACCTGATCACCTTTCGAGGCCCACTGGCTGGCCTTGCTGCACTTTGAGCATACCAAACAGGCTCAGCCTCAGGGTGTTCTCCTGGTTTTTCCTTTATCTGGACCGTCCTTACTGCCTGGCTTCTTTCCTCACCTCCTTCAAGTCTCTACTCAAATGCCTCCTCAATGAGGCAAATGCTTCCTGTTTGACCTAGCTACATCCTACCACATTTCCTCCCTCCATCAATTCTTCTCCATAGTATTCATGATTGTCCGACACACCATTATTTACGTATTTTCTTTGTTTACTGCCAGCCCTCCGACCACTGCCTCAGTAGAATATCAGTTCTATCAGAGGGTAGGATCTCGGTTTATTTTACTCATGACAGAGTGGGGATTGACAGCATGGCAACTGTTTTGTGGCTGTTGTCCCTAAAGCCTAGAACAGTGCCTGGCACATAGTAGGAGACCAAGAAGTCATCGTTGAACGCATGGAGTTTGAGTTTCAACAGACGGGGGAAGTGTATTTTTGCTCACTACCTGTATCCCCAGAGCTTCCAGTACCACCTGGCAAATAGTGGGTGCTCAGTAAACACAGAGAGCTCTATGGTGCAGCCAACAACTGGGTGACACGCTCTGGGCCTTACAGCTGGCAAGGAGAAGAGCAAGGACGATGAGCCAAGTCCACTGTCCTGGGTTCTTTAGCCCCACTGGATAAAAACCCAACCCACATCCTTTGCTGTGGAGTGCATTTCCACTCTTGGCGACACATGTCCAACTGCCCCTCAGGGCTCTCCTGGGTGTAAACTTTACAAAAGTAGATAGGCATTTCTTCCATGGCTCCACTGGGTGAGTTCCAAATGCAAACCCTTAGGCTGGTCTCCCTGTCGTGAGTCTCTTCCGATCACAAGGACCCCAAAGGACGGGATAGAACTGCCCCTGTAGGTTTCCCAGACTGTCAGTCTTTAAGGAAGTAGACAACCTACAGGTTTGAAAGTGTATGTCAGGAAGTTGTGAATGAACCGGGGATGCAGCTGCGGAGAGCTGGTCCCTCCAGCACGCTCACCGTTCCCGTTTACTCCTTTTCCTGAGGCCAACGCTGGACAACTGTCTCTCTGACCCCCAGCCTTCAGATGGAGGGCTGGCGGGGAAACCAGAGGGAGGAACCCTTTCCCACTGTGGGGCTTCAGTGGCGCGGGCCGGGCCGTGTGTGTGTGTGTGTGTG